CTGGGCTCTCACCTGGCTCGGTGTTTTTCCAAAATAATTGGGTTCTCTTATGCCTTTCATGGCCGTAGCTGGGAAGTTTCCATCACTGGCTGCTGTAGAGGGAGGCATCACATTTTTCTGCTGGACTTCTTTGATTTAATTTTATAATTCCTTCATAGGTGATTTTGTTTTGCTTTGAGGTTTAGTTTTGTTGGGTTTTTTTTGTTTTTGTTTTTGTTTTTTTTTTAAATCTAATAGTTTTGCATTGCTACGCTTGCAGAAGACTCCTCCTGTGGAGGCTGAACACAACTGGTTGGTAGCAGGAAGCTTTCCTCCCAGTGGGTAAGCCATCCCCAAGGACTGACGAGTGGTTTGGCTCCCTCTTGGCCTCCTAAAGCTAGGAACAAATCAGATAAACTGCAGGAAGGGCATGGGTGACGGCAGGGAGGGTGTGCAGCAAAAGGAATTGAGCAAGAATCTTGCTTTTCAACTTAGTCCCAAAGTCGTCTCCTCTCCTTCCTCCTTAGTCTTGCCTTGATCCACCCACGGGCTTTGGGGTTTTTTCGGCCACTTCTGCGTTCCTGACGTTGCTCGTTTTGTGTCGTTAATCCCAGATTTTGCTGGAGTTGGGCACTGGCACCGGCTGCCTCATGGGGACAGATGTGCTGTTGGATGTCCTGCTCTGAAACGTCCTCTTGGCCTCCCGCCGTGCCCGTGGGGATGGCAGGACCAGAGGTGGCTCAGGGATGTGGAGATGTTCCCCTTCCCCTGCCGCACACCCCAAACCATCTCAGCACTGTGCAGGGTTTTGGGTGCCCACCAGAAAACCCCTCTCCAGCCTACGCCTAGAGAGCCCCGGTCCTGCCTGGCTCACAGAGACCATCGTTTTAAACCCTTCTACTGTGTGAAAGTTACACTTGTTCTCCAGGTAAAGATCCCCTAGGAAAGGGGAACGTGCTGAAAAAACCCCAAGGGACCGGAGCCAGATGCTGGGCGTTTTCTCCAAAGCTAGCGATTCGTGATGTGCTGCTGACAGCGTGAACTGGTGCGAAGTTATTAAATTGCAGATGAGCTCATCACTTGGCCTCGGACAAGTTCCAGCCTTGAGTGGCTTGAAAATATTACATGTGGTGGAAAAGAGACAGTGCTGGTGTGGCAGAGAGATTTAGGGAGCAGCTGAGAAAGACATCTGTGCATAAAAAGATGTGTACGGGGAGGGAGGAGGGAATATTTCATGTGAAAAATTGAAGCTGTCTCAGGAGAGAGGAGGAGAGATTCTCCAATTTATTGGTTCTACATTTTAATTTTAGTTTAAGAGAAAATTGTTTAGAGATGCTCAGAGGGAAGCGGCAAGCCTGGTTTGATCCTCCAAGATCCCAGTGTGTTGAGAGCTGCGTGTGTGGGATTATTTCAGCCAAGCCCCAAAACTGTCCCCTTCGGCAGCGCGTGGTGTTTGCCAGCGGTGCCGTATGACCATGGGCTACATCCAGCTCCTACTCCGTGTTTGCTTAATCCTGATGTTGAGCTTGACCAGCCTGGGAAGGTAACATCCTCACTGTTGTTAGGAGAGGTGTTTCTCTCCCTGAAAGACTGGGAGTTTCCTTTGGGGATCTCCCTGCCCTACATGATCTGCACAATTTCTGTTTCTCCCTTTTTTCCCCCTCTTGCAAAGGAGCCCAAGCTCCTGAACCCACTTGGTTCTGCGCAGTCACCTGTGGATTCATGCCGGGCCAAAATACATGAGGGTGAAGATGGTCTTGAATGAAGGAATGAGTTTTTCCAGCCCAATGAAGCCCATCGATGCCGGAGCAGCTTTGGTGGGCTGGCCTGGGGGAGCACAGCGCACGCCCTCATCTGCGCTCTACATCTCGACGCTGAGATTAATTAATTTTCTTTAAGTGCCAACTTGGCAGAAGCCATGAGATAGATCATAAATCAGTTTGGCCGCTTTCTTTTTTCAAATGAGGTATGTTTGCAACCAGTGAGCCAGTTGGGTTTTGTGGCTGGTTGGATTTGTTGGTTTGGGTTTTGTTTGGTTTTTTTTTGGTGCTCCCAGCAAGGAAGAACAGCCCCATGCATGTGGTTTTTTAACTGCCTTGGCTCTTTTTTACCAAATGTTGTGTTTGCAGTCCAAGTGTCAGCAAAGCCGGCGTTAGCTCAGTCAGTGCTGCAGTGATGCTCCTAAAAATAACAAAGAAAATGGTATGATGAAGACTTGCCGTCTCCTTTGTGGTATGAGCTGCAATTACAAGCAATATCAGATCCTTCTGACTGCTACAGCCAGTGTCTTAAGGTGTCATAGATTTTTATTTTTTTTTAAGCGAAGATGATAATTTTCAACCTGTCTGATGTCCTAGAGCATCAGCACTTACAACCAATGTGCCTTCCCACACAGCTGATGGGGCTGGAGCATCTCTGAGCTCAGGACAGGCTCCGGTTTACTGCAGGGCACCAGGGTGCTGTTGGCTGGGATTTGCTGTGTTAAAACACCGGGGGCAGGAGACAGGGAACTTTTGCATGTAAATTATTAACAAATTGCCTGGGTGGCTGTCAGTAATGAGCTGCATGCTGGGACCCTGGAGCAGCAGAGCTCGGGGGCATCCACCAGAGGAAGGTTGTCTCGGGGTGCTTTGAACACACCCAAGCGGATGGAATTGCAGAGTGTCGCCAGGACTTGGGGACAGTCCCCACCCTCAGCCACGTGTTTCTGTCCCTGTCTGTGGCCTGGGTCTGACAGGGATCATGGCTTTCTGATAGTTGAAGCTCCTAAGTTGTAGTTCTGTTTTTCTGCCTGGTCTGTACCCGTGTCTACATGTGCAAAGGGAGGTTACTCAGGTCTGTGATTATCTTTTTTTTCTTTTTTCTTTTTAGTTTTCAGACCATGTAAAGCTGCTTTTTTACTGCTGTGTTGATTTTTGGTGGTTTTTTTTTTTTTTTTTTTAATTTCCTGCAATATTAGCTATATCCATCCCTACTGCACTTCTACTTGTTTGGGCAAAAGCTGCATTTATACTGGGAGGGCTGGGAGCTGCGGTGCTCTGGCTGTAGCCCAGGTTTGGGATGGGCTCCTTTCTCAGATGTGCAGGGCTTAACATCTCACTGAGCTCTGCTCAGCTCTGGAAGGGAGATAAAACCTCTGTGTGATGCCTTCCTTGTGAATGCCTCATTTCTAAATGGAAGTACTGGTGGCTGTGGGTGATGAGTGCAATTTGCGTTTCTGAGATGCTCTAATGGCCTCACATGAGAAGTTCTGCAGAAGGGCAAAATGTTCAATAAATAACAAGTTATTAGTCAAAACTATAAATAAAAAGAGAGTCAGGAAGGACTGCTTTTTGCAAGATGATGAGAAATAAGATTGTCCTGGCCCTGTGCTGTGTGTCTGACACTTTTTGGGGTTTTTTTGATTTTTTTTTTTTTTTTTTTCATTGTGTCACTTAGCCAGATTGAGACACCCACGTGCCCAAATAGCACCTTCCTGTTACTGGCACCCCATAAATAACTTTTATGTTTCACTTTCTCCAGCTATACACGACAGCACCCCCTGCCCTCCAGGTCCCCTCCTACATTTCATCCCTGTAGCCGGCTGGTTTTCCCTGAGAATGGGACGAGAACACCGAATGCTTTCCCCTTTATGCACCATTCCTTCTTCACCTGAAACTTCCATCTCATTTTTGCAGCTGAGCTCTTTTCAGCCTCAAATTCTTTGTAGAACTGGGACGGTTTCGTTTGACGGCACCGTGATCAACCCCTGGGACCGTTGCCATTGCTGGGCATCACCCAACAGAGACCCCCAGAGACACGGGGGTTTTCATGGCATTTTTTTTTCCAGATGCCACCAGCTATGTGGGAGGAGGACTTGGCGTTTGACGCAGTTGTGGGCAAGTCTCTGTCTCCAGCGTGGCTGTTCTTGGGGGGTCAGAAGGCATTTTCCTCAGCGCTAGTGGAGATACAGATACGAGGAATTCATCATTGCCTGGTTTTTAGTGGAGTGTTGAAATGATTCTTAGCAGGCCTTTGAAGAGAAATATAAACTCTTATTCCTGTCAAAAAATAAAAGGCAAAAGGGAGATGGCTTATCCAAGCTCACCCAGTAAGGCAGGGCTGGAAAATGAGCCCAGCTCTCCTGGTGCTCCGGTGTTGGGTGGGACCTCCATCCAACGTCTCCTGGATGGACTGGTTCTGGCCAGGTGGCTGGTGGACCTCGCCGCAACTTGCGTTCATCTGGGAGGAGTGCTGTCCTATCCCCTGATCAGTTGCTGCTGAGGAGCAAAACATAGTGGAGACAAAATATTTGAAGGAAAAGGAGTACACTGTATATAACCCTTCCCCTCCTCGTCCCTGTGCGCTAACATATTTCATATAATGTTGAGTCCTCTGCCAAAATTCCTAAAATTGTTATGGCTAAAGATTGAAAATCAGGGAAAATAGTCTTGGAGGGGACCTCAGAAGGTCTGATCCATCCCTAGGGCAGGATCAGCTCCATCTGAACTGTTCCTGACACATCCTTGTCCAGTCTCCAACGGCAGAACCTCCACCCCTTCCCCAGGCAATCTGCTCCAGCACTTTGCTCTTCCCAAACCGCCCCCCAATTTATCCTTCTGTTTCCCTTGCAGCAATTTTAGGCTCATTCCCTCCTCCCTACGCACAGCAGACCCAGAGCACATCTATGCTATATTTATTCTCCAGTTCCCGTTTCACGCTGATCAAGCTGTCACGTTCACTGGGGGCATCTTTGATTTTACCTTGTCGCAAGCGTGCTCTTCGCTCGGTGGATTTATGGCTGGTGAGAGGCGTGAGGGTGTTCATCCTGCAGCCCTCGTGCCTCTTTGCAGACCAGATGAAGCACAGGAGCGCAGCTTTCCCCAGCGTGACGTGCTCAGGTGTCCCTTCCTTGCATTGGGTGGTGGTGGGGATCACTTGGTTTCTTCTGGGGACCACCAATGTGGGCTAATTTTAAGATCCACGCTAGCGCTGGCTTTTGTAGCACGTCTCATATTGCTCCTTTACCCTGTTTTCTGTAGGATTTGGGAATGGAGTCAACCTCTCTGGATGATGTCCTCTATCGATACGCCAGCTTTCGAAACCTGGTGGATCCCATCACTCATGACTTGATCATCAGCCTTGCTAGATACATCCACTGCCCCAAACCGGTAGGTACCGTGGCATCGTCACGCCTCGGTGACTGTGCTGGCTTGGGAAACCCTTCTGCGGAGAGCATGGAGCTTCCCTCCGAGATCCAGGGGAAAAGCCCGCTGGTTCCTGCTGGGCTCGTGTGTCTTTGGGAAGAGAGGACCCGCTCAGAAATCATGGATTGATTGCATCAGGCTTTCCAGGTGACCAAGTGACGAGCACTTTGTTTTGCAAATAATTTCTGCTTTCTGCTGCTTTTTCTTTCTGCGTTAAAGACTTTACCCCATCAGGAACACTTTTCTGCCTCGCAAGAATAACAGACCATTCCTCGCCCTCGTGCGATATTTATCATAACCCCAACTGACGAGAGAGTCCTTGGCTGTGCCTTCAAGGCCAGGTTCCCAAAAAAGCGCAGCCTCCATGGGCCGCTGTTTGGGCTTGGACATGATGAGGTTTCTCTGTGAGCACAGCCCCAGGCAGACGTGGGCTTTTCATACTCTCAGCCCTGGTTGCTCCCTGGCAGCTGTAGGAGCATAAGGGCTCTTGGAAATCCCAGGCTGGCTCCCTTCCCTGCCAAGGTAAATGTGGCTTTGTGTTGTGGCCACTGGCTGTTTGGATAATTAAGGTTTATTTCCCTGGGTTTTCTTTTAAATAAGCAATATTGTCGGTATCGGGTTCCCAGAGCAGCATAGGCTTACAAAGGTGTGAAATGTCTGAGCTCTTAAAACACGCTGGGGAAGGAGGAAGAGGGGGAAGAGAGAAGACCAAAAGCTACCTGGAGGCATCGCTCTCCTGTCCCTACTGCTAATAACGGGTCTTTAATTTCCTGTAAGAGTGTGTGAAGGGATAGAGTCATCCACTGCTGCTTCTTGTGGATGTTTTACTTAATCATAGCCTCCGCCGCTATTGAAAAGTGAGGGAAATGGGTTTTTTGAAATATGTAAAGGTTTCTTTCATTTTGCTGAGGAAAACCCACGGTGATGCTCGGGGTGTGTCTGCTTGGGCTATGGTGTGAAACTGGCTCTGGAAGGGCTTCAGAAAACTCTCTACACTCAATAAACCGCGTTGGGAAGGGTGGAGCGGGCGCAGCAGCATGTGGACATGGCTCGGGGGCATCAGGGACCCAAATCTCCATCTCCAGACGGAGGATGAATGTCCCATGTCCTGCAGCGTGAGCTCAAGATACAGACCCATCCCCGTACTGCGTAGCTAAACCCGTGCCAGGATCCCGATATATCCCTTTCCCTTTTCTTATGGAGAACAAGATCCTTTCCACTCTCCTCCCCCATGGGGCAATGAGATGGGAAACTGGAGAAACCTATTTTAACGGGCGTGTTTCCAGGCAGAGAGGCCCTGTTCTCCCACTGAGGTTACCCTTTTCCAAAGCATCGTGACTAAGCTGGCTGCTCCTCCACGTTTTGCCCTGGGAGACGAGCCGTGGCCAAGTGTGCGCTCTGCGCTCCTCGTAAAAATAACCCGAGGCCGCTGATGCAAGGGTGAGCTGCTCCGCTGCCGAATACCTGCGTTCGCATGTCTCCCTGCGTGTTTCTTTTGGCACTAATCGCTGCGAAGAAGTAGTGCCAGTGTAAGCATGGAGATGCAAGCTCCTGATACCGAGTCATGGGCTTCTAGCAAACCATGGGGGTAAGACATGCCAGAGCAAACCCACATAACACCAGCCCATGCAGCACTGAGGCTCTTTTTCTGTATGAGATGCTGCTTCTTGGCTGCCCTGGATCCTCTCCCTTGCACCATGCCGTGCAGTTGCTTTGGTGCCGGAGCAAGGGACATCTCAGTGCCGCTGGTCCCGTACGAGGCTGCTGCGGCAGATGCTGGCAGGTGGCAAGTGCTCACAGGAGAGCGGCGGCAGCTGTATTAATATAGCAAAGAGAATGTCACATATTCTGCTGCGCAGTGAGGCAGGGAGCCTCTGGGGCTGGCAGACAGTTGCTAAGCCCTGGAGCATCCCTGGGAGATGGATGAATGTTGCCTTGGAGAGGAAAGCAGGGATTGCATGGGTGACAAGTCCAGCAGCAGCAGGACTGTGCTGCGGCTCCTGGTCCATGGCTTAGCCTGTTGCAGCCGCATGTCCTTCAAACCCCTTTTTTTTTTTTTTTTTGGCAGCTCAGGATGCTGGGTTGAAAACTAATTTCATCCCAGTGTTTACTTGTGGTTTTCAGAGTCACTGGTTTTCTTTACGTCCCCAAAAACCTGCATCCCTTCGTCGCCTGGGTTATTTTCCGACATCCAGTCCCCTTTCCCCGCAGACCTCTCTCCCTCCCCGCGGTTTCTGTGACAGGGACTTGGCAGGAGCGTACGAGAGCAGGAGAGAGCTCAGGGCCAGGAGCGTTGCAGAAGTTTTGGCTTTTGCTCTGCCTGCCAAAAGTATGCCGCTGCATCCCGTGGCACGAATCTACATGAATATGTAGGTTGAGGCAGCTGTGGACTTGCCCATGTCCATATGGAGGTGGGACAGATGGGGCTGACCTGGACCCTGGTCCCTATTAAATACGTGTCTGCTTGGGGTTGTGGGGTCTCGCTTTCCTCCTCCAGCCTGGAGAGAGCGCTTCCCTGGCTTTATGTACATTTCTCTTCCCATTCCGCCTCTATTTATACCACCCTTAGCTTAAAGGAAACCCCTTGGGCTCTCCTTTGAGCTAAAATGAAAGTTTAATCTTTTTTCCAAGCTCTGGGTACACATTCTGGTCTGTGTGGCCAGAGAAAAGCTCTCCAACGTGGCTGTGGCTCAGCACCATTCGGTGGATGCTTATTCCAGCGAGTAAATTCAAACCAGCAGCGAGGCAAAAACTTTACCTTGTGCTGGAGGAGCCTGGGGTGGTTTGAACAAGCCCAAGTGCGGAAATCATTTGGGTGAGCTTTCGTATGGACGTCAGGGTGTGTTGTGCAAAGGCTGGATCGTGTCTCTCTAGGAAACGGCCTCAGGTTGCACCAGGGGAGGTTTAGGCTGGATATTAGAAGAAATTTCTTCACTGCAAGAGTGATGAGGCATTGGAACAGGCTGCCCAGGGAAGTGGTGGAGTCACCATCCCTGGAGGGGGTCAAGAACCGTGTGGATGTGGTGCTTGGGGACATGGGTTAGTGGGTTGGGTGGGGTTGGGTTGGCGGTTGGACTTGATGATCCTTGAGGTCTTTTCCAACCTTAATGATTCTGTGATTCTGTGATTCTCTCCAGACCCCTCTGAGATCCCAGCCTTCCCCGAGGTGCTTGCATTCAGGTGACTTTTGCTAAAGGAGCCAAGCGAAAACTTTTCTAAATCACTTGGAAGTCAGGGTTTGGATGTGGTCCCATCCCTACTTACAATTGTCTAATGCATTCAACCGACCCCAGGTGCCATGAGTACCCCTTCCCTGGGGGCTGGGACCCACCTGCAGCACACCCACGCGGCGTCCCCAGAAACGCCGACGGAGCCGTGCGAGAGCAGCTGCCGGCTCTGGCTGTGCCTCGCTGGGTTGCTGTCTGCTGGGGAAGCTTTCAGATGGAATAAACGCTGCCGTTGCTCGTGAACGTTGTGTTGAGTGGTGCCCGTAGATGCTGCACTCCCTGTTTCTTGCCTTGTGCAGCTGTTGTGAACCTCGGTTGTTTATTGCGCCGTAGAAGAGGCAGTTTTGCTCTTCAGGAAGCTCTCAGACGAGCCCTGCCGCAACACTTTTCCAACGGGGTGTTTGCCTAGGATGGAAAACATTTGAACAAGTGTTTTCCTCCCCACGGCCCTGGCCTTGGGGACAATCTTATATCTTCCTGCCTCCCTTCAACCCCAGCCCCGTGGAAAGGTGCCAGGCGGGTTCTTCGGAAAGCGGCTCAGCCCCAGGCACCGCCTGCAGCCGCCCCTTTCCAAAGCCGGGGTAAGGAGGCAGCCGGTGCTGCTGGTGGGTTCAGCCCCCAGGAGGATGTCTGTCTGTCTGTCCCCGTGAAGAGGGAGAGGGGACAGAATGCTTTGTCACATCCACGTGGCGTGGGATGGAGCTGCCCCGCTGCCCCGTATCTCTCCTACAGCCGCTCAGGTTTCCAGCGGGAGTTGTTCCAGGCCAAGGAGCTGAAAACACAAACGCGTGAGGAGCAAAGGGCCCCCGTAAAAAATTCACAGCTCTTTTTGCCAGCAAGAATATCTGGCTGTAAACCACTGGAAAATTCAACCAGTTTTTTTTTCCATAGCCCAAAGCCACATGTATGGATGACTGATGACCGTGATAGGGAGTGAGTCAGGTTTTCCTTTGGTTTGAGGATTTGTTGAACGTGGGATAAGGGCTGAGCAGAGCCAGGGGAGAGGAGAAAGTGAAGCCTTGGGCAAAGGCTGCTTTTTTCCTTTGTGACCTTGGGGTGTTTGATTGCACCAGCTCTTATTGTCCTGGGGATGTACCTTGGAAGCTCCTCCAGCCCCTGAAGACTGCCCAGAGTCAATCCAAAGTGAGATTTAGGCTTTGCTCATCCCCATCCCGTTGTTTTTCCATGGAGGAAAGGTCAGCAGAGCAGCTTAGCAAAACCTCATCCCAAAGTCCAGCTTTGCCTGTCCGCTCTCTCCGTGCCTGCAGCTCCATTAAGACGACAGATGAACAATGAAATCCCATTTGCACGGAGGGTGCTAGATAAGGGCAAAAACATCTTGGCATGGAACCGATACAACAGATCATGTGGTCCTCAGCCTCCTGATGAAAATTCATAGTGTTTCTAGATGTACAGGGACAGCAATGTGTCATTTAAAAACTCTTCTAAGCAGTTGGTGTGGCTGGAGAGGTGACGTGCTGGGGCTGGAAGCAGACTGGGTTTTGCCTGGGTAGCTCTGGGTAGAGTGGAGATTTATTTTCTTGTTCTCTTCTGTGTCACTTGGGAAATACATGCTGAGCTGCATCCCTGGCTCAGGTGTCTGTTCCTACAGGAGCTTTAAGTTGATCAGGTTTGCAGTGTGGGTTTGATTATGTGAATTGTCACCCATGAAAACAAGACAGTATAGAAGGAAAAAAAGTGGTTATTGTGACCTGGATTAAATAATCTATTTCTAAC